ATGCAGAGCATACCAATACCAAGGTTGACCCAAATGATACAAATCAAAAGAAGGCTTAAGAGAGGCAGTAATATTTTAGCTTGCTTAGTAGGCAAAGAGGCAATAATAATGTCAAATAGAGAAAAGCCACAAATAGTAAAGTTATCAAAAAATAAATACATGTGGCATATTCAGGGAGGGACACAGAAATCTAGGCATGGTTTAGACAAGAAGCTGGAAATAAGACAGGACATTCTCCAGCCTTCTAGGAGTATGGTGAGACACAAAGATCTTAAGCAGAAAACTGGCAGATCATATTTATGGTTAACAAAGGAAGTGCTTGTGATAGTAAAAAAAAAAAAAGTTAGAGATTACTGATATAGATGAGGGAAGAAATAATGATCAGGGATTCTTAACCATTTTTGTATCAAAGACTATTTGGACAGTCTGGGGAAGCCTGAGGAATGTTTCTCAGAAATACTTACAAAGCATGGAAAAAAGACACATAATTACAAAAGAAAATGAACTATATTGAAGTACAGCTATCAATATGTTAAAAATAAAGTGCTACAGTAATGTATGTAATCAACTAATACTAAAATATTATATAATAATTTTAAAGTAGTGATGAGTGAAAATATTTTGATATATTCAATAACGCAAGATACTTCAAAATATATATTTCATATGTAAAGTGATATACATACATCTGCATTTTCTATTGTATCACAAGCACTGTTAATATTATTTTCAAGTGTTTTCTATGTTCATAATAAAAAGGAAATGCTTACTTTTGGTTAAAGGATAGTGAATATAAAGATGTAAATTTTTTCCTATCCTGTTCATGGATCACAAGTTACGAACTCCTCTCCTTGCCTCCTGGCTTCTTTTTTTTTTTTTTTTTTTTAAAAAAAAAAAAAAAAACTCCTCAACTAGACTAAGTGAATGTTCATGCAACAAGATAGGAAATGGAAGAGATATTTATAAAGAATATATTTCAAATAAATAAACATCCTCTGGAAAGTTAAAAAAAAAAATTGGCAAATAGATAAAATAATCCTAACCTAAACTGGATTGGCTCCAAAGAGTAAAAAGGAAATACCCCTATATCAACTGTTATTGAACAGTTTCCTTTACTTGGCTAAAAAGAGCACAGACAAACAACGGTGATACCGCCAAAACATGATTCATTTTCAAGATGAATCCCTCCCTGTTCAATGGTTTACACTGTTTTTGACCAGCATCAGACTGTTTACCCACACAAACTGTAAATACATCATTTTTAGAACTAACCAACAACAATGCCCATATTGTTATAACATGTAAGATACAAAAAAAATGAAGAAAAATAACTATAGCTCTAATGTCTATGCTTCAAAAATGAGAAAAACTACACAGAGTAATAGAGGGAAATTCTGGAAATAAAATTTAACACATGTTATTTATCAGGAGGAATAGGCTGCCTGAAATTCCTTGCTTTCAAAAAGAAATCTTAGGTACAGCAGCACTGTCAAACAGTGTGGATTCTCCTCTCTGATATTTCTGCAAAAAAACATGAGGAGAGACATGAAAGCAACAAAGCTGAGAGAAAACAGTATATTTTGACTTTGAAATCTAGTATTACTCTTTAATTACTGTCCTTTTACAAATGACAAAATCATTAATTGGCACTTGCAACCTTCAACAAAAATATGCTAAAAAATATTTGTTCGTAGTCATTTAATATCTGTCTTTTCCCATGGAATAGAAGATATATGAGGGTAAGAATGACCATAATCTTTTGTGCACATTATGCTCAAAGCCTAGCATAAAACCTCTTATGTGGTTTGCTGAATAGAGCAGCAAGAATAAGAACAATAAAGAAGCTCAAGGGAATATTTTCTGAAGTCATATAAATGTAGGGACCACAAATACTTCTTTATTTACTAATACATCTGTGGTTTCTCTTATTGACCTTGCTGCCCCATGTGGACAGTGAATCTGTTTGCCAAAAGATTTTGGTGAAATTTTAAGTTAAGAGAAATATTTAACACAAAAAGAAAAGCCCCCAAAGAACCTATACTATACATCTAGAGAACACAATTTTAACAGGAACACCAAAAATGTAACTAGTTAAGTCTGAAATACAATGTCTTGCAAATAGCTGAAAATATCAACATCTCATAGCTTTCTAAAGTTTATTGTATAAAAATTCTAGGCCGGGCGCAGTGGCTCAAGCCTGTAATCCCAGCACTTTGGGAGGCCGAGGCAGGTAGATCACGAGGTCAAGAGATCGAGACCATCCTGGTCAACATGGTGAAACCCTGTCTCTACTAAAAATACAAAAAATTAGCTGGGCATGGTGGTGCGTGCCTGTAATCCCAGCTACTTAGGAGGCTGAGGCAGGAGAATTGCCTGAACCCAGGAGGCGGAGGTTGCGGTGAGCCGAGATTGCGCCATTGCACTCCAGCCTGGGTAACATGAGTGAAACTCCGTCTCAAAAAAAAAAAAAAAAAAATTCTTTCTAAAGACTTTTTTGATATATAAGTATTTTTTTCAATTTTTATTTTATGTTCAGGGGCACATGTGCAAGTTTGTTACATGGATAAACTGCATGCTACTGAGGTTTGGGGTACAAATGATCCTGTCACCCAGGTAGTGAGCACAGTACCCAACAGGTAGTTTTTCAACCCTCACCCCTCCCACTCTCCTCCCTCCAGGTGTCCCCAGTGTCTACTACTCCCATCTTTATGTTCAGGTATACTTAATGTTTAGCTCCCGATGACCTTTTGCATCTAGGACTGATTCTAAAAATTTTCAACCTTAAATATCATGGGTCACTAGCTAGTAAAATACACATGAATAACAACCATTCTCATTAAAAATAATAGAGCCAAAGCATAAAGTATGATCTCAGGAGAAAACAGAAGTCTCATTTTTTTGAGTTACAAAAGTCCCAAGGATAATATTTACCTATATTTTTTTCAGTCTATCTTAAAGTTTCCTACAGTATGTGTGTATATGTGCATACACACACACACACACACACATCTGGAATTCATCAGATATTACAAAAGAAATGTATAACGCCGTCAGTATAGAAGCTGAAACAAATTAGGATAGCTACATGCTCAAAAGAATTACAAAGAAGTACTCAAACAAATACATGTACACATGTATTCATAACAGCACTATTCACAATAACCAAAAGGTAGAGACAACCCAAAAGTATATCAGTGGATGAATGGATCAATTGCATTATATCCCTACAATGGAATATAATCTATCCACGAAAAGGAATTAAGTATTAATACATACTACAATGTGGATGAACCTCAAAAACATATATTAAATGAAACAAGGCATAAACAAAAGGTTATATATTCTATAATTGTATTTATATAAAATATACAGAACAAGTAAATTTAACAATCTACAACGCAGAGAGTGGTGTTTGCTAGGAGATTAGGGGAAAGAAGTATGAAAAGTAAGTGCTTAAAGAATATGTAGTTTCCTTTTGGAGTAAGGAAAATGTTTTGGAAACAGAGGTAGTGGTGGCACATTATAAATATACTGTCTCATTTACATGGTCAATATTATGTTATATGAATTTCAGATCAATTAATAAAATAACAATGACTTTCTGTGGTAACCACAATCTCTCTATATAAGATTCCCCAATCTTGAAAACCTAAAACGGTCACCTATCAAGGGAAATCTGCTCCAGAAAAAGTGATCTAATGTCAACGTTTTCTGTTGTTCTAATGAGAATGAAATGGTACAACCACTCCAGTGTTGTTTATCAAAGTTAAGTTTCACCTACTTATGATCAAGAATTTCCCCTCAAAAATTAGTATACATATTACCCCAAACCTGAAACCATTCAATGTATATCAGCAGTAGTAGAAAGGATAAATTAATAGAAGTACAATGGAATAGTGAGAGCTGTAAATAAATGAACTAAACCTACCTGCAACAACATAAATGAACCTCACAAATATAATGTTAAAGAAGCCAAAGATTTCAAAATACACATACTCTATATAAATTCATTTACATAAAATCAAAACAACACTGTTTAAGAATACTTTCTCAGGAGTAGAACTATTTTAAAAAGTAGGCTGGGCACAGTGGCTCACGCCTGTAATCCCATGATTTTGGGAGGCCAAGGAGGGTGGATCATGAGGTCAAGAAATCAAGACCATCCTGGCCAACATAGTAAAACCCTGTCTCTACTAAAATATAAAAATTAGCTGGACATGGTGGTGCATGCATGTAGTCCCAGCTACTTGGGAGGCTGAGGCAGGAGAATTGCTTGAACCTGGGAGGCAGAGGTTGCAGTGAGCCAAGATCATGCTACTGCACTCCAGCCTGGCACCTGGCGACAGAGACTCTGTCTCAAAAAAAAAAAAAAAAAAAAAACTAAAGAGGTGGTTACCATAAAAGTGAGATTTGTGGTTTAATGTTATGGAGAAGGTACATAAAAGAGAGATTCCAGTAATGTTCCATTTATTGATTGGGATGATGATAACAAAGCTATTTGCTCTATTTTTGTTTGTTTTTCCTGTGACATACGAGTAGAAATCCTACCAATCCCATTTTAAAATAAAAGGCAAATGCTGTTCTATCTAAAATACACATTACCCATGACCATTTCTTTCCAACAATGAATATTTCTTAATAAACTATAGTGTCCAGTTGAACATAGAATGTTCTGGAAGAGGTATGTTAAAAAAAAGGTTTAGTTCTCCGAAGTTATAACAATAGTTCCAAGTTTTACATTTCATAAATATGATACCAAATATTCATTATATATTGAAACAGGGAGTTAAAATAGCATGGTAAAGATCACCATTACTATACTGGCTCCAATTCATTAAATGATTTAATAATTAAATTATTAAACTAAAATTTAATAATTTCATATAAGCCTAAGATCTTCTTCTTACAGGAAGAGACTATAAAAAGTTTAGTTTTATCCTAGAACTGTAAAAATAAGAACAAAAGGAAGATTCAAGAGAACAGTGGAGACAGAAAATTACCATGCAAGGGTGACCCAGAAGGGCTGCTTGATAGACCTGGAACAGGGCTACAGCGACCTCCTTGCTTAGACGTCAGTTCTTGTTCAATCTCTTCCAGTCCAGCACTTTTCTGGAAACGGCTCATACGATTCACTACTCGTGGTGACATATGTGTACGAACACAAGGCTGGCCACCATAAGGGTTGATGGGGAAAACGTGGGAAGTACCACGGAGAGTACTGACCACAACCCAGCGACAGTCATGGCTGAAGCAGATGTCTTGTACCTAGAAATGAAATAAGAAAAGATACAAAAATGTCTCAAACTACTTGGATTTATCTAAGAGTTATCACACATCACCAAATATGAATGTAAGTGATTGCCTCATTACCAAATGTACCTAAGATGGGGTTATAAATTTAAAAAAATATTCTATAGGTGAGTTTCATATTGACAGTTGATCAAAACTCCATTAGGTAGAATGTTACTTCAATAGTCAGGGATGCAGGACCCTGAAGAGAGGTGAGATGCAAAGAAAGAAGATCTTAAAACACTCAATGCCCTTTGCCCCCAAACACACACACATAACTGATAACAACAACTCATGTATCTGCAGTGGCTGGCAAACTTTTTCTATTAGAGGCCATATGCCCTTGTAGAATGTAAAAGCTCTACTGTCTACTGCAATTACTCAACTCTACTCTTGGAATGTCAAAGCAGTCATAGAATATATGTAAAACGAACCATGAAAAAATCCTAAACCTGAACTTACCAGTAACAAGTAATGAAACTGAAGCTGTAATAAAAAGTCTCAAAAAGAAAAGCCCAGGACTAAAAGCTTCACCGCTTAATCTTAGATGTTTTACCCAATATCTAAAGAAGAACTAATAGCAATCATACTCCAACTATTGAAAAAAGTAGAGGAGGAAGGAATACATCCAACCGCATTCCACAAGGCTAGTATTACTGATAGCAAAACCAGATATACACATCAAAAAGAAAGAGAAAGCAAGAAAGAAAGAGACAGAGAGAAAGAGAAAAAGAAAGGAAAAGAAAAGAGAAAAGAAAACTAAACTACAGGCCAATATCCCAGGTGAGCAATGACACAAAAATTCTCAACAAAATACTAGTAAACCAAATCCAACAACACATTACAAAAATCTTTAGAATGACCAAGTGGAATTTATCCCAGGTAAGCAAGGATAGTTCAACAAAGTACACAAATCAATATGACACATAATATCAAGAGAATAATGAATAAAAACCATATAATCATTTCAACTGATGTTGGAAATATATTTGATAAAAATTCAACCTTACTTCATGATGAAAACTCTTAAAAAACTGAGTATAGGAGAAACATACCTCCACATAAGGAAAGCCATGTACAACAGACCCACAGCTAGTATTTTACTGAATGGGAAAAAACAGAAAGCCTTTCTGCTAATATTTGGAACAAGACAAGGATGGCTACTTTTATCACTGTCATTCAATAAAGTACTGGAAGTCCTAGCCAGAGCAATCAAATTGGAAAAGAAAAAGTCAAATGATCCTTGTTTGCAGATCATATAATCTGATATTCAGAAAAACCTAAATACTCTACCAAAAAACTACCAAAACTCATAAACAAATTTAGTAGGGTTGCAGGATACAAAATCAACATACAACAATCAGAAGCATTTCTACATGCCAACTGTGAAGAATATGAAAAAGAAATTTACAAAGTAATCCCACTTACAATAGCTAAAAATAAAATCAAATAATTAGCAATTAACCTAAGAAGGGAAAGATCTTTACAATGCAAACTATAAAACACTGATAAAAAGAAACTGAAGAGGACACAAGAAAATGGAAAGATATTCCATGTTTATGGATTGGTAGAGTCAATATTGTTAAAATAGCCATAATACCATATACAATCTATAGATTGAATGCAATCCCTATCAAAATACCAACGACATTCTTTACAGAAATAGAAAAAAAAGTCCTAAAATGTATATAGAGCCACAAAAGACCCAGAATAACCAAAGCTATCCCGAGCATAAAGAAAAAAACTGGAGGAATCACATTACCTGACTTCAAATAGTAACTGAAACAGCATGGTACTGGCATAAAAAACAGACACACAGACCAATGGAACAGAATAGAGAACCCAGACACAAATCTACATACCTACAGCGAACTCACTTTCAACAAAGATGTCAAGAAAATATAATGGGGAAAACACAGTCTCTTCAATAAATAGTGCTGGGAAAACTGGATATATATGCAGAAGAATAAAAATAGACCCATATTTCTCACCATACACATATAAATTCAAAATGGGTTAAAAACTTAAATCTAAGACCTAAAACTACGAAACTACTACATGAAAACACTGCAGGAAACTCCTGGACATTGAACTGGGCAAAGATTTCTTGAGTATTACCCTACAAGCAGAGACAACCAAAGCAAAAATAGACAAATGGGATCACATCAAGTTAAAAAAGCTTTTGAACAGCAAAGGAAACAATCAACACAGATAACCCAATCATTGGGAGAAAATATTTGTAAGCTGTCAATCTAATAAGGGATTAATAACTAGAAAATATAAAGAGCTCAAACAACTCAAAAGGAAAAAAATCTAATAATTCTATTTAAAAATGAGCAAAAGGTATGAATAGATTTCCTCAAAAGACATACGAATCACAAACAAGTATATGAAAAGATGTTCAACATCAATGATCAACACAAAAATGAAAATCAAACTACAATGAGACATCATCTTCCCCATGTTTAAAAAAAAAAAAGCTTTTGAGGTCCCTTGCGGCGGCTAGAGAAAAATTACTTGGACTTCGGGGCGGCTCCAGATGGCCACAGCCTTTACCCTGTACTCACCGCTGCAGGCAGCCCTGCTCTGTGTTAATGCCATCGCCATGCTACATGAGGAGCGATTCCTCAAGAACATTGGCTGGGGAATAGACCAGGGAATTGGTGGATTCAGAGAGGAGGAATTAAATCGCAGCTAATGAACCTTATTCGATCTGTAAGAACTGTGATAGGAGTGCCATTGATAATAGTAAACTCAATTGCAATTGTGTTACTTTTATTATTTGGATGAATATCAGTGGAGGAAATGGAGACTCAGAAGAAGACATGCCAGTAGAAGTTATCACTTCAGTCATTATTGGAATATTTATAACGCTGGCTCACCTTGCACTTGTCAAAAATGTAAAGCTGAAAATAAAACCAGAGTTTCTATTAAAAAAAAAGGGGGGGGGGTGCTTTTACCCAAAAGACAGGTAACAGCAAATGATGGCAAGGACAAAGATAAAACAGAACCCTCATACACTATTGGTGGGAATGTAAATTAATACAACCACTATGGAGAACAGTTTGGAGGTTCCTGAAAAAGCTACAAGTAGGGCTACCATGCGATCTAGCAATCCCACTGCTAGGTATATACCCAAAAGAAAGGAAATACATCAAAGAGATATCTGCACTGCCATGTTTATTGCGGCATTATTCACAATAGCCAAGATATGGAAGCAACCTAAGGACCCATCAACAGATGAAGGGATAAAGAAAATGTGGTACATATACACAATAAAAAGAAAGAATAATATCCTTCACTTGCAACAACATGGGTTGAACTGGAGGTTATTATGTTTAGTGAAATAAGTCACTTACAAAAGACAAACTTTGCATTTTCTCACTTATTTGTGGGATCTAAAACCTAAAGCAATAAACGGCCAAGCGCTGTGGCTCACGCCTGTAATCCCAGCACTTTGGGAGGCAGAGGTAGGTGGATCACTTGAGGTCAGGAGTTCAAGACCAGCCCGGTAAACTTGGTGAAACTCTGTTTCTACTAAAAATACAAAAATTAGTCAGGCATGGTGGCGCATCCCTATAATTCCAGCTACTCAGGAGATTAAGGTAGGAGAAACTCTTGAACTCAGAAGGTGGAAGTTGCAGTGAGCTGAGATCACGACACTACATTCTAGGCTGGACAACAGAGTGAGACTCTACCTCAAAACAAATTAAAATTAAAATTAAATAAACAAATAAAACAATGAACTCATGGAGATGGAGAATAGAAGGATGTTTACCAGAAGCTGGAAAGGGTAGTGGAGGGAGGAGGTGGGAGTAGGGATGGCTAATGGGTACAAGAAATAGAAAGAATGGATAAGATCTGGTATTTGATAGCACAACAGGGTGACTGCAGTCAACAATAATTTAATTTTACATTTTTAAACAAATAGAATGAATAAGACCTACTATTTGATAGCACAACAGGGTGACTATAGCCAATAATAACTTAATCATATATTTTAAAATAACTTAAAGAATATAATTGGGGCCACATGTGGTAGCTCACACCTATAATCCCAGCACTTTGGGAGGCCGAGGCAGGTGGATCACCTGAGATCAGCAGTTCGAGACCAGCCTGGCCAACATGGTGAAACGCTGTCTCTACTAAAAATGCAAAAAATTCGCTGGGCGTAGTGGCACATGCCTGTACTCCCAGCTACTGGGGAGGCTGAGGCAGGAGAATCACTTGAACCCTAGAGGCAGAGATTGCAGTGAGCTAAGATCATGCCACTGCACTACAGCCTGGGCAACAAGAGTGACACTCTGTCTCAAAAAAAAAAAAAAAAAAAAAAAACAATTGAATTGTTTATAACTCGAAGGATAAATTCTTCAGGAGATCGGTACCCCATTCCTCACTATGCACTTATTTGACATTGTATGCCTGTATTAAAACATTTCTTATCTTTTGAGACAGAGTCTTGCTCTGTCACCCATGCTGGAATGCAGTGGTGTGATCTTGGCTCATTACAACGTCTACCTCCCGGTTCAAGTGATTCTCCTGCCTCAACCTCCCCAACAGCTGGGATTACAGGGACCCACCACCATGCCAGGCTAATTTTTATATTTTTAGTAGAGCCAGGGTTTCACCACATTGGCCAGGCTGGTCTCAAACTCCTGACCTCAGGTGATACACCCAGCTCGGCCTTTCAAAGTGCTGGGATTACAGGCATGAGCCACAGCACTTGGACAAAACATAACATTTCATGTACTCTATAAATATATACACCTACCTACTATGTACCCACAAAAAAATTTTTAAATTGCTAAAAAATATTTTTTAAATAACTAAAAGAGCATCATTGGATTGTGTGTAACACAGAGGATATGTGCTTGAGGTGATGGATAGCCCAATTACCCTGATGTGATTATTATTTACAATATGCCTGTATCAAAATATCTCAAATACCCCATAAATATATATACCTACTATGTACC